TGTCATATTCGACCCCTTTCACAGTACTCATCTTACCTTTTTCCCTTCCTTTATGTCTGTCTGCCTCTTCTACATCTGTGAATCGCTCTTCTGTTCCCCGTCCCTCGACTTTCCGCTACTATGATGAACCTTCCCTCTGGGAAGCCCGAAGTCAGCTAAATGGCTAATGATAGCTATCAAAACGCCTGCCATTTGAAATAAATAGATAAATTTTAGAACCTTAACCAAATGGTAGATCTCTGAAAATTTGCATAAATGCGATAATAGAACAAAACTTATTTTGGCGTTATAAAATATCACGTCGTCGAACAAGAATTATCTATTAATCATTTAGTATGGAAAAATTCGGTGTAATATGAAATTTAGTTAGCTTGTCTTTTTCTATCTTTTTAGGTATATTTTTGAAGTCGTATCTTTTTTTGTAAGTTTGTTAGTCTACGTCGGTTAAGTATACTTTCGACTTGTGCCGATCTTTTGAATAGATAATGTTGGTACTTTTTCTGGTGTTATCTGTAAATCTGCTTTACAGCTGTAATTCAATAGGTAGTTGATTATTACATAGAATATTCTATTTAAATTAGAGGTTAATGGAATTTCAGCTATTCGTTTTGCCCAAAATACTGGTGTCTTTCCACAGGGTCGAGATGGAGTACTTGAGGTTAAGTATGAAGGATCATGGACGCCGATCTGCAATTTTGGCTTTGATTACGTTGCGGCTTCGACAGCATGCTACATGTTGGGATTGTAGGTTTCACTTGCCATTCTTATTCTATTTTCAGTCCACCATATGGATTCACCATATACAAGAGCAGCCAGTATGGAAACGTTTCCGCTAGATTATCTAACTTTAATTGCACTGGTCGTGTTAAACTGGGACCAAATCCTCCAGAACCTTCGTCAGTACATCTTGGAAATTGTGAATTTTCAACCAATGTACCGAGAGAATGCAATCATGCTTCTCGCAACGTTGCTATAGCTTGCATGGAGCCGGCAGTTTTGGATAATTTCGATGACGCATTACCTCCGACTTTTGCCCCAGTTTCATGTAGAACTCCAAATATCTGGAGAATGATAAAATTAAAACTTTTAGGTCCTGGGAATTCAAGTGAGGTGCGTTTGACACATGGAGATGGAAAATCTGGTCTTTTGGAAGTCAAGAGTCCCACAAGTGAAGAATGGGGGACAGTTTGCGCTGATGGCTTTGGGATAAATGAGGCAAAGGCCGTTTGCAGAATGCTTTGCTCAAGCAGGTTTGTTCAATTTATTTCTCCCATTAATCGCCTATCTTTATTATAGTGACGACCTTGCATATGCCCATCCAGTTATTAATATGTTCGGAACTGTGTCAGAGGCTGCGCGAAATATGCCAATTCATTTAGCTCGACTGAGTTGCCCGGTTGGAGCGCAGTCGTTGAATGACTGTTCCCTTGGAGATGGTTGGGGAAATGTACAGGGTTGTTCTCATGCACTTGATGTCGGAGTTATTTGTGGACCTCCCGATGAAGTATTGAGACCTCCGCGTATGCGTAAGTCCGAATCGGTGGGATTAGGTTTCTTTGATAACTGTTCAGTGTCTTTGTCTCTTTGTAGAGAATTGAGCAACTAGTACGGGAGAAAAAATAATTGTTTAAGTATAGTCGCATAAAGGAAACAATAAATTTGAGATTTGTTGCCGGGGTTTTCGAAAGTCGGGTGAATGGCTAGTCGGTTCCCAAAAATGCTTAATTAAATGGATTTTTTGGAAATATCGGTTTACGACTATATACTAACTGTATTTCGTAAAATTTTAGGATAATTTAAATTAAAACATCTATAAATGCCAAAAAATCTGGAATTTAGTTAGTATCCGGTAGAATCAACTCAATTTATTGCATCAAAAATCTGGTTCAACAATTTTCCGTGGACAAAGGTATTAAAAAGAGAATCAAAAGCCAGAATGTAAGAATATAGTGATGATGGTTTTGTTGAAGCTCTCATTCGCGAAGTGAAGTGTCCCCTATTCGATAATCCTGGAGCCGCCGTAGTGATACTTCTTTATCCAAGCTGGTCGTTGGGACACGCTAACTTAACTGACTTCAAGAATAATTATTAATATTGGGGGGAGGGGGGGGTACCATTTCTTTGTTCGTTTGTGACAAAGTGAAGACTTGAAATGACTCATGGACGAGACAGTCACGTGATGTGTGACCATACGCCTCAGCCTATTTTTTCCCTGCAATCACAACCTTGCTGTATTGGGGTTTCGTTTATGCAATAAGGATCATTTGTGAGGATTCTATGTCCAATTTGTATTAATTTTTAGTTCCTTTTTTAAGATTAACTTCCTGCTTTCTTCATAATTGATGAAGGACCTCTATTCTATGCTTATTAACTGAAAAATAAAGATAACATTCTATTTGCTGAAATCTTTATCCGTTTTATTTTGTTAAGAAATTATAGTAAGGTGGCTAGATTTTGTTGTGTTAACTCGAAATACGCAGAGTTGACGAGATCATTGGGACGTTTGTCAGTTTTGATAGGCTATTTGTGTTGTGCTTCTTAATAGCGCTCTCACTCTCTATTTTTCACTATATAATAAAAATTAACGGACATTCCAGCACAATGCCAGTCAAAATCGAACCAATGCATGGTCTTCGAGGACCATCAGTTAACAGGGACAGTGTTGTACTGTCGGTCCTAAATTACATTGGCTTATATCTTGATTCTGGTCGTATTGGCACTGAAATGTGTTTTTACGCTCAAAATTTGCATGGAATGCCTTTCCCTCGATTCATTTTATTTGTAGATCGAGAGTAACTATTTTATTTTGAAGTTTCAATGACTTGTTAGGCCGAAGATCCGTGGTATTGCTAAGGTTTGTTTTTTTGCGTGAATCGCGTGGGTCACAATCGTCGTGCAGCGTCACAATTTGCAACCAAAATGAATTGTTCTTATTTTACCGTGGGAAGTTTGTGAGATTAATCGATACCTACGAATCGTTTCTTAAACCACCATATATGGGAAGCAAAGGACTTATGTAATAATTCTTGCATCGAAAGTGCACATTTTGGAATATGCCCACCTTAGCTACACTAGTTTACCTTGGCAAAAACGCGGAATTTATAATGAGCAATTCTTTTTCTATTAAACCGGCCAACGTGATAATCATGACTCAGCAAAAAATTCTGTTATTTCGATGGGGAACTTATTTGGAAAATGTGTGTGTGTATTAAACGATTTTTATTCTTCAGTTCAAATTAGCCATTTTCTAATTTTGGTTCGAGCATTTATTAGGAAGAATAAGATTCAAGTCCCTGGGATTCATGGAGAGTATATTGTCAACATTTTTCAAATGTTCGGAAGTATATTTAGTTTGAGAAATTGAATACCGTTTAGAATCAACACCATAAATAATTTGGCAAAATTTATCAATATACTATTTTTATTTTAGCCATAGAAACTTCCCTGGAATGTGACCACGAAATAGCTAAGGTTTATTTTAAGAAGGAAGAACTTGGAGAGGCTGATTCTTCAACTGTTTACCTTAATCGGACAAATCTACCAGGCGATTGTACCTTCAAATTCTCTGAACTTGATGAATACGGGACTGAGAGCACATTAATTGAAGTCCTCATTCCTATGGACAAGTGCGGAGCTACATATGAAGGGGTAATTTATTAATCAACATGCTTTGGTCCAATCATGTAACACACCTACACGTTTTTCTTAAGCTTCATTTTACTTACTTTGGGGAAAAAGTTAAGGAGCTCGATCAGTGAAGTGTAATCGTCGCTGTGGAAGACTAGCCACGCTGATGAATTTTAATCAAATTAAAAGATAACTTCTCATAAGAACGACGTCAGAATGACTTTGCTGTAGGCAGGTGTTGTAGATATGCATTCCCGTTGGGTTGGAAAATTCAATCCACGATTCATTTTAAAAGTAGGTTTCATCAGTAAATAAAACAGTAATTAAGATTGGCAATATTCATGGCCTTTTTTACTTTTTACTGCTTTTGTAACAGCGATGATATTTTCTCTGATAATTTTAGAATTATTTGGAGGTAACTCCTCAATGTTTTAACTTAAAATGATCTTAATTCAATATGAATTCAAAAACCCATGAATTACCAGATTGTCAACTTGTTCGCCCTATTATGGTCTAACATTTTCGTTTCTTTGTGTCAATTCAGAGTTGCATGGCTATTGGATTGAGAGAGGGTTAGTTATTCTTCACAAGTACTGGCACCTCTGTCCCTCATTGTCATTGAGTAATGTTATGAATCATGCTAATAATTAAATACGTGATTATTGTGCAGTTACGTCTTATTTCCCTTTGATTATGAAATTATTTCATTCTCTTATCATCCAATTTACAAGTATGTATTGTTTCCAAAGGATATATTTTCACCCTGTTCACAAGACTTCTATCGAACAGTCATGCTGACTCCAAGGCCGACTGTATCGCAAGTGTCGAATAATTTATTTTTCATTGTTTTTGGATCATAATTTTGTTCCTTCCTCCCTACCTTTCAACATCCTCTCTCTTAACTCTCGGCCTTTGCTTGAGAAGGGCTGTTTTCGCAATCCCTTAGAATGAGCTTAACTTTCGTAGAAGAATAGCTCTGACGGTAACTTGGTCAGGTTAATATTAATGGTACTTCTTGCCTTATGCTCGCGAGTTAATCACAAAGGTTTCACTTGTTGCTCTATGCTTGTTCAAGCTTGACATGTGTAAGGACACTCGTATATAGTGCACTCATTTGCTAAACTAACAACTTAGCAATCACTCTGTTTCATAACTCATCTTAACCCCCTTAACCTTCGTAATTCATGCCAGAGCCCGGATTGAAGCTACTAGATTGAAAGATATATGGATTATTATGCTCTTTTATTATGCTCTATTTTACGAAGGTTTCTCGAAACCAGATAAGACGTCTAAGTAGGAAACCATTTATCTTGCTTTTTTTAATTAGAGTAATTCGACAGTCCTAGCCCTACATATTCCTCTGATAGTGAATACTTCAAAGGCTCCCTATCAAGACGAAAGTTATGAAAGTGGCGGAGTGTCAAGAGAAAAGATTTTTATTCTGCCAATAACGTGCCTTATCCCCCGTCGATCCTCCGTTGATTCACCCATTCATGCAGCTGCTACAAGCCGTCTGGAGAACTTGGTTTCCCTCAGAAAAACTCCCAATGTCCAGATAGGCTATTTTGCTGATAGACTGTAGGTTTTTTCGAATTCATTCTTTTACTAAATTTCATCTTTTTCGTCTTTCATCATTTCGTCTTCTTTGAACTTAGGTTCCGAAGACAAATAAGCGAGAGAGTTAACATCATTCCAAATCGTCGAGTCTACGTACGAGTTTCAATTGAACGACCAGAACAATATAGCAAGCTAGTTTTAACAAACTGTGTGTTATCGAACAACAGATCTATGGAGTTGAGTATTCCATTAATTTCCAAAGGATGTCTAGTTTCAAATGAAATTCAGCTTCTTCCGATTTCTCGAAGTGCAGTCGGATTTTCATTTGAAACAACCTACTTTAGAAAGGCATCACAAAGCATTCGAGGAGGAAATATGCTGGAAATGTTTGTCAGTTGTCAAACACGTCTTTGTCACATTCATGAAACAGGACCGGAGTGTATCCAAAGTTATTGCAACTGAATTGTTGAAAGTTTGTTAAAATAAATGTTTTAAAGGTATTTTTTGGTTTTTTTGAGCACAATACCATGCTTGTTGTTTATAGTTGATAATTCTCGTCAAACAATATGCTGTTATGAGATATTTTTAAACTAGAACATTCAGTGTTGCAGACGATAATTTCAGATTTTCTAACAAATCAAGCCTTATTGTTGACACACTACTAGGCTCGGAATCAATTTATTTATTTATTTCGAATGGCAGTCATTTTGATAGTTACCATTAGCCCTTTAGCTGATTTCGGGCTTCACAGAGAGGAGAAACATCAAAGTTCAAGTGGGTGGACCGAAGAGTGATTTGCAGATGTAAAAGAGACAGGCACAATGATGGAGGGTAGGGTAAGGTGAGTACTGTAGAAGTGGTCGACTATGGCATACAGTGAGGCCATGGTAGTTTTAAGTCAGAAGTCAACTGCCGAATAATAGACCTTTTTCCCGTATGAGTATACGTTGTCCAGAGTGCACCACGTGGAGGTAGGTCTATCGCACACCCCAGGCTCGGAATCAATGCTCTATTACTAATAATTCGCGATTGTATTTCGGTTTATGCTCAGTAATATGATGTAACGCTAACAAAATATTCGAGGTCCACACCATTTTATCGGTACCTTATGGAGTTCGGAAATTAGCTATCTGCAACTCATTGGCTAGGGTCGAGCAAACATCTACAAGAGGGCAAATGCCATTTTTATAACCTGTTGGTGGTCAATAGGCGGGTGATCGTGTGTAATTTGAAATGAATAGATTTAGAAATTGGGAAAAAAAATTTGGCATAAGGAGGGCGGAAATGTTGGAAATGTCTGTGTTCCTAGTCCTTCGGTGGGCAATGGAAAGAGACATCGTCTAGTAACTAGGGCGAAGAGAAATACAAGTTAAAAATGGTGTATACGCTAGTGAACTTCTCTTCATCAGCGAATTTTTGACCAAGGTGATGATGATCTATGAATTTTCATTGTCGAAGGGCAAATAACCGTCATATACCAAGGATCTCATATTCTCATCATAAAGTTTAAGTCACTTAACTCAACGAGAAGTCTTTCAGAATGGCATCAACGGAATTCATAAAAGATGGCCTCACATTCTATATTTCCAGCTGTCATACTCCAGCAAAATGTTATTATTCTCTTAGATAATAACCGAATTTCAACGCCAAACTGGTAAAACTCTACCATGATTACCTTGGTATGGTCTGAGCTGGCTATAGGCACAATTTTAATGAACTAAAAACGTTAATTTGTTCCCTAATCAGCACTTAAGTTATAGTCTAAGCAAAATATCTTATAATTATTAATAGTGTAATAATAATGGTATTATAAATTGACCTTAAAATTAACTTGGCTATGTCAAAAGTTAAGAGAACACGAGAAATAAGAAGTGTAGAGGGCTTCATCGCAAAGTTATTAATTGAGTGCTAGTGACGACATTCTGCATGACTATCGATCGCTTATTGACTGACTGGCCTTGGAAAATGCCGCTTATGGAATCTGGAGAGTTATTTGAAGACAGCGTTTTTGTGAACAGAAATATCGATTTGACTGATAAGAATAAATACAAAACCGATCGATTTGTGCTTGATTAAGACGAGGGCAAAATCGAAGTGGCAGACTCATGCGGATGCACAGATTTCCCATGCGGTTTCGTCTAGTAGTTTCTAGGGGAATGGGGCTTCAAAAGGATCCTATTTGCAATCTAGTAAGACTGAAATGGCAGGATATCGAACATGAAAGCAAAGATTTTACGTTTAGGAGTCGCTTAAATAATGAGTGTAAGGGAGAACATGAAACGGTTAGAACAGTATTAGTAGGAGTTATGAAGGAAAGATTCAATTTCGATGCCACGGTTGAATAGGACGATAATATTTCACTCATATGAGGAAGTTGAAGTGTGTACACACTACCTCATAACCATGAGGTTTCTGTCTGCTGGTAATTTGCTTAACAAATATCAGTAGTTAGAAGGAAAACAGAATCTGTCAACGCCCTTATTATAACTCAATATACTTTCTTTATCAAAACCCATATTCCACTGGCTGAGTACTTACGCCATTCTAAAACGTCCTAATTCTCGATTTCACCTTTTGTAGACAGCTGTTATAATCATCAGAGGCCATAGTGGCAGTGTTTGCCAAGCATGGATTGAACCGGAAATTCGGGTTCGCACCAACAATCAACTCGAAATAAAGTGATTTGATTAATAGAATTGTGAAAGACGTCAGACCTTAAACAGTTTTGAAGCTATTAATTTTTCTTTTCATTAAAATACAGTGCTAGCACTCCGAAACATCATATGGTCATCCGATATAGTGCAACGACGCAAGAGAAGCGTTGAGGGTGTTGAATCTACCATTTGCCTATAAAGGTAAATCTCATCATGTATCTATTTCTACTCGAATTTGTCTATTAAAGACCGCAGCTCACTCAAAAATCGCAATCAGGTCGTTCATGAGNTATTGTACTTTGTGAGTGCAGCAACTGTCGTCCCTCGTAATCGAAAAATTGGTGCCTGGCAAAAGCACCAACTAATGGGCATTTTTATTGACCAGTCTTTATCTCAACAATGCGCACTGCGGTCTGTGTCGCTAAGCAAAAATATTCAAGGGGAAATGGGTATTGAGACTTATTATTAGTCTCTCGAATAATGTGTTCGAGCTCTGGGGTCCAAAACAACACGAAATAAGCGCAAAGAGAAGGTATTACTTCACTATGTTGAGAGACAAAGTCTAATAAGTTTAAAGCAAATTAAAAACTTACAGTGTAGTCGAAAGAAATTAGGTGAATGTAAATATAGATGAAATGTGTCTCGAATAAAAACTCCTTTTTGATACAGCAATAGCAAGTAAGCATTAATACGTGGGAATAAAGATTTTTTACAATTTGCTGTCTTTAATGTTTAGTGGGCTTGCCGTCTTGGTGCTCGAAGAGATACACGAATCAGACTGCTTTAGCAACAAGCATTGAGTTGATTGTGACTAAATGGTTGTTTTAACGGGAATTTTGTGTTTGCAACCTCACAATTATGCATTGCAGGAATCTAGTTCGTTCTTAGATGATCTTCGGTTCGTTGACGGGGTGTGTTTTGGCACATTGGAGGTGTTATCCATTAATTTGCTGGTTACTTTGGGGAGAAGAAGAGGATGCCTTATTACTTGTTGTCTCTTTAGGGATGCCATTGACGTAGACTCTCGGAGTAGTTTGAAACCTGATCCGAATCCGAGGGACGATTTTCCCTGATTTGGATAAATCAATGCCAAGTTCTTGTAGTCATTCTTCTTTTATCCATCAGAGTAAATGTGCCGTGGATTTTGACCTATGAAAACAGGATTTTACGAACCCCATGTGGTCCCTAGAGTTTTGTACTTCTCGATGTGATTATTATAGGGGATTTATGATGAGGACGGGGTGGATGAGAGTAATGAGGCAACAGCAGCAACGTGATGAAGAGGATTGGCGGAGAGTTGCTAGGCTGAAGTGCCCAGGTTCACAATTACTTTGTTATGTCCAGCCTTGCCAAGGTACTCGATACCTGCCAAATGCTGATTGTTAATAGAAGCATAAATTGTTGAACTTTTACATTAGATCATAGGCGTAGAGGCAAATTTATGCATTATTATGTATATGAGCTAGTTGTATAGGCTTATGGTTTTGTGAAATGATTCGAATAAAATTTGTGAAGCCTTATTGTAAAATTATTTCATCCTATTGCTGTAATTTTTACTTAATAATCATGGTATAATAATTATTTGTTTCTTTTTGATGCCTATTTATTAAATAGGTGGGTTTGGTATTGAAGTGCTACTTATATTGGGCGATGTGTCGCATCTTAATATGCCCCGTTTAAAAGCCTTAAAAGCTTGATTAGTGATTATTAAAAGGTGGTTGTGTGTTGGAGTCGAATGGACGTTTCTTATGCTTCCCCTACATACGACTGGTATATCTGCCTTTCATGCAGGTTTGTATGCGTCTTATTAATAATATTAATTTTGTTATAATGAATTATTTCTATTATTGAAAATAATAGAAATTGATTTTGTTTATGTGAAGAAAGTTTGGCTTGGATGTGAACAGCCCGTCTCCCTCGAAAGCTGTTGAGGCAAGTCGTAATAGGGTAACTTTAGATGAATTTGAAGCTAATTGTCATACGTTTATGAGTAAAATGAAATTATTTACACTATTTTATATATTGTGTTTTATTAGGTATATACTATTTATGCTACTATTATTTTCTATTATTAGACATCCTTTTTATTTTTGTGATTTTTTAGTATTCAATTCTTTCATTAGTAGATTACTTTGTTGTTATGTTTTTGGGATCAATTGATATTCTTTAATATTTTGTTTCTTTTATATGGGAGGGGTGTATATATTAATGGTTATTTTTTTGTGTCGGTACATAGGCCAAATAATAATTTTTATACCTACAGTAGACTACATGACTTTTTAATC